GGAAAAGTCCAGCCAAAAGCCACTCCTTGTCCCCCTCCCATCCAGAATTCCTCCTTCTAACATCCCAGGGTCCAAGGTGTCCCTCTTCCTCTCTTTCAAACTGAGGAGGGAAAGGAAAAAAATTCACAAAGCTTTCATTTCTCAAGGAAGGGTTAAAAGTCCGAACTCCCAGGATGGCTCGATGCCCGGACATCCAGCAACTCCCACGCACTGGGCACCTTGCAGCAGCTCCCCCCGCTCCTCCTTCCTCGCGGAGGAATTGCTACAGAACTGCCGCTGTTTTCTCTCTCCCTCTTGGGAGAGAAACTCTGGTGGGGGGGGAATGGAGACATCCCAGATTTCTCCACCCTTCCATCTGCAGGAGCCAGCTCGGTTCCAGTCCTTCCACCACCCTTGGGACCTACCTTTCTCAGGCCATGGGGCTTCCCCTCCCCCACCCAGCTGGTTGCTGGGCGGGGGAGGGTTTTGCCTTGTGGCTGACCGTAACCAAAGAGAGCGAGTTCCCCTGGGAATTCTGCTTTTAACTCCTCTGTGTTCTCAGAGGCGTGTCTACTTTCAATTGGTCAATATCTAAACTGACCTCTTCCTTCCGGAAAAAAAATTCTCTTTCCGTGTCAAACCACTACAAAATGTCTTCAAGTCCTCTCACATCCTCAAAGAGAATAAATTCTGAAATCTGGTAAGTGGCTATATTTAAAATGTTTTGGATTTTTAATCGAACTTAATAACCCAACTCAGCCCTGATGATTGAACAATGCTGGCTTGTTTGTATTCTGTTGCTTCAGGTAAAATGGCAGAGATCACAGTTATAGATATGATATGTGGTGACAAATATAGCATCTGGTATAGTTAGGATCTTGTTGACCTCTGGCTTCCTCAGGTGTTCCGGCTGTCTTTCTCTCTTGCCTTATTATTTAAAAGTTACAACTGAGGAAAAATGTCATTTGGAGGCTGATACTTAAATTATGATAGCCATGCCTGACATCTATCTATCTATCTATCTATCTATCTATCTATCTATCTATCTATCTATCTATCTATCTATCATCTACTTACTGACCTCTGACAGGCCAGACAAATAGCCCCTCTCAAAGCCAGGCAGAAATCCTTGTATTAGCTCCAGTTTCCTGTTCACCCTTCGCTCTCTGAACACACCCTCTCAGGTGTCAGCTGAAAGTTTTTATTTCAAAGGCAAATGCAAGTGCTCATTACTAATATGGTTTTAAAAGCTTTTAGATGTGTTAACTTATGTCCTACCAAATTAAGAAAGAATGTGATCTTCCACTCTTCATCCCTGCTCCATCTCCTCCATCACAGCAAATATTTTGAGCCTAGAAACCTTCATCAGAAGGGGTTCTGCCATGGTTGCTGAGGTCAGTATAGGGGAAGATGGATTATTGTAGGTTCTAGTTCTTTTAATAGTATTTCTACCCTGAATAGTCAAAGCAAAAAATGCCCCAAACTGACTATGCTCAGATCCTTGAAAAGGAGTTTTTCATGGTATAATAATCTTGCAATGAGAAAATATGATTACAAAAAGTAATTTCCTCAGAGTAATCATGTTTGTAATATTGCAGAGTCAGACAGTCAAGTTTCTTTTAATAAAATTCTCTTTCACAGCTCAGCTGCTACTATTGCTTGCTCCTTCCATCATCATCCTGCATTTGTGAGAGCATCTATTCTTCTAGTTATGAATATGATGTGAAAAAGTCCATGGTTAGAGCAGTGGGCTATTCAGTTTACTGATTGCTTTTTAAGGGACAAAATACCTCCTATCCAACTATTTGTGTGTGCCTTCTCAAATCGATGATTACATAGCGTTCCCTCCAAATTTCAAAGGACAGTTGTAACATAGATGTATGAAGCTATATTACTAGAAAGAAAATATTTCCACTTTATTAAGTGTATAATAATTAAGTCACAAAGCACTAAAGACAAAGTATTTGTCTGTGAGTCCTGAACCAATGCTCTGATGAAATGAAATTCATGGTGTGAGTGAACTCCCTACTGGTGAGAAGGTACTTAATTCCAGCCATGAGGTTCTGTAACTGCCAGGGAAAATGAAGCAAATCCTGAACAAAATTTATACTTTTCCAGACATGGTGCTTCCATGGCAACTTAGCAGACCAACTCTATCTGCTGAAAACATGTGAAGTGATGCCATGATATGCCTGGGCACCACAGTAACTGCTTCTTGAGCTGTGTGAGGCACAGCAAGTATGTAAAAGCTGATTAATTTTGTCTCACGTTCTAAAACTATTAGAAGTTCTACCATTTTAATGTACTAACTTGCAGGTTGTTATTTCATCAAAGAAATACTGAAATGAGTAAGAGTAATATTAAAAATTTTTATGCCTTAAGCACCACATCTTCTCCCCATTGATGGAGAAAAATGTCTGTGTCTGTGATTAACTCTTAAATGACAAGCAAAAAGTTGGTTGTTCTTGTGGACTTGTTTTGTGAACTCCTATGAGTATGAAGTACAAACAGGCCCTGAGGAAGGAGTCAATAATTGTTTTTATAGATTTCTGCTCTTACTATTTTTCTGTGAAAATTCAAACAAATTCTCAAATAATATACCTTTGTATAAACAATAAGACATTGTAGATGTTTTTAAAATGTAATGTATTTCTGATTTTTGAGCAGAATGTATGACAACATTTATTTTGTGATTATACTGGTATAAAAGACAGATAACAATACCAAAGGTAGAGTGGTGACCCTACTATATGGTAAAATCCAGCACATGGAAGTGGAAACAAGAAAAATTCAGAAAATATGTTTAGCTGAGAAGTTGATTAACTGTTGTAACAACTCATATACAATTTTGCCGTGTTCTGCCACTGGAAGTTTTAAAAAAAAAAGGATCAAATCACAGCAATCAAATTTGACACAAGGAGAAATTCAGGGAAAGTCCAAGTATCAGGTAGAAGACCAGAGTACAGTGATAAGGTTGCTCCTGCCTGGCTTTCGAATCTACTAATCTTCATGAAGAATGCAAGTGTAAGCCATTTGTACTTGTCTGGTGAGCTCTGTTTACAGCTGCTTGAAGAGGAGATTATATGTTTCTCTATATCCTGGACCTCTTCCATGTTGGAACATGGAAGTTATGAGTTACTGAGCCAGATCTTGTGACTGTCCTAACAAAAAACCCCACCAAAACCCCAAATAAAGCTGCCAAGTTTACAATGACTAGATCTATTACTAAGATACCATTCTCTGGTTGAGTGCTCTAGCTCCATCTGTAGTTTCCACTGGAGTGGGAATAATTCTATTGTGTAACGGGGACAGGGTCCCTGTTAGATCATCAGCAACAAGGCAAAAAAAATTATTTATTTTTGAAAGAAATGAACCAGGGATCCTATCAACTACTGTAGAAATGGTTTTGAATTGGCAAAGGCCATATATGTGGAAGAATATATGAAATTTTGAAACGTTACATATGCATTCACATTTCAGCTCTTGTAAAGCTTTTCTTTGCTAGTGTTTCACTTAATCCATAGATTTAATTCACTGCATTTCATTCAGCAGCTAAGAAAAAACGAAGGTATTGTTCTCATTTAGCTGATCTTTATTGGTTGTAATTATTTATTAATGCTACTTAGCAGAGTAATAGACAGTATGTCCTCCACAAAACAGGTCACTTAATAATTCACATTTATTTCTTTCCCCTTACCTTAATTTTTCAAATAATTTCATTTCCTATAGCAAATTTTTTTCTTTGAACTCTATGTACAAAGCTGTGATGGGCAATGCCATATAAACATTTGCAATTAAAATTTCAGCTTCTAAGCTGAAAATATTTTGCCAGTTGTACATGCACAGATGTGTGCCTGCATACATGCAGGCATACTGGTGCTACAGAAAGCAAGACTGGGGAAAATATAAATTCTTCTCCTAATAAAAGTAGTGAAGAGTCAGTACAGCACAGCCCTAGCTCTGCATAAGCTTAGGAAATCTTTTAAAACCCTAGATTAGAAATCCAGGAGCTGCCTTTTGTAAATAGGTTTTTGTTGGTTTTTTTTTTTTTTTTTAAGGATTTGATTTTTAGAAGTCCGGGGATTAAACTTGAGGTAAATTACAGGTGCTAGGTTCAGCACAAGGTTCAGAAGAGACACATGAATCAATATAATGAGTGAATGAGACTGCTGGTGGAAACAGATACCCTGTCAGGTCATCAGTGCAATCTCCTGAGGATGCAACTTTATCCTCTGATGTATATCTTCCAGTTTTTCTTCTAGTACATGGGGCAGATAGCCCATTTTATAGTGACATGTAACTCTGAATCCTGATTCTACAGTAACTATTCTGTAGAAAATATTTGCTGAACACTTTTAATTTCCTGAATTTTAGCAGTTTGGGCTTATGTGACGAAGGCAATACAGTCTGACAGATGTCAGCTACTATTCTTACCATTTCTGTATGCATTGAGTTAGCACTGCTATAGTACCAGAGCTGACAACAGAACTGAATGTGGCTAAAGAGTTCTCTGGTTTTGTTGCTTAGCAAAAAGTCATAAAGATGACTTTATGAATTCAGGTAGATGATTTAAGAAAAAGTAGATGTTGTGTGTGACTCTTCAGAAAGACTTTGTATTTTCTTTCCTTATATTTTGTATTCCTTCTAAGCTAGATGGTTTAGTCAGACTGATAAAAAGCTTCATGCTTTCAAGTTTTCAGACAAAAAAGAATCATTGGTCATCATTATCCCCAAGGAATTAATCACATATTTTCTGTAAGTATGCAAATATCCCCCTTGTATATTGCCCTTAGACTTAAGCTCAGCACTCTTGTGAGTGCTTAATTGGGTAGCAGCCAGACTGCTATGAGAGCAAAAAAAAGAGTAGTAGACATGATATTCATTGTTATTGGAACATGGAGTTCTATGGACTGTTCACATCTGGGCGAGTTTAACTTGTTTGCAAACAGAATCATACCCAAACTATAAGCGCACATTGCGGTTTTTTCTTGACTAACACACAAAGTGAGGGGCTGAGATAAAGACACTGCTGTGCAGGCAGCCCCAGTGCAAACTCCTGCTGGGAAGGCACTCATCAGCCAGGTGGAGAAGCGTCAGCCTTGGCTGTTCCTTAGCACAGTTTGAAGCTTGATGTGCTCTCTTCTGGCTTCCCTCTGTCTTTCTAAGGACTTTTTACAGTCATGTTGGTTCACTACTTGAGTTTCTAATAGCTATTCAGAAATTTTAATCTTGTTTAAGTAAGAAAATATTTATTCTCTGTCTGCATGAATTGCCATTCTATAGAGACCCGAAATTCCTTCTAAAAGTCCCATAGGTATATGGCAGGGTTTCACATTTTTCATTGTTTCTTTTCATCCTTTGTTGAATATGAGAAGAACCATTTAACTGAAAGACAAGTTAATTTCACAGCTTTGAACCTTTTCTCACTGAAATGCTTGTTTAGATTCATTCTGCATGAGTAGTCGACAAAATTCACAGTGAGGTGATTATCCTTTGGGGACTTCGGTGAAATGAGCCTGATTTCTGTGGCTAGTCCTGTGGGTAATTATTCCTGACAAAACTCCTGCTGTGGCTGATTCAGAGCAGGAGCATGTCCAATATGGCCATGATGAACTACTCCTTTTATGATGCAAATCACATCTTTGCCTTATGGAATGAGACATTGACTAAACATTTTGTAGGTATTTTCTTTGCAGAAAC